ATTTAACACTAGGCATAGAAGAAAGGCAAACCACAGCAGTTATAAAAAAACGCTTGCAGAAGTCTGCAAAATAATCAAGAATCACTGCAGCAGCTCAGTTACATACACGGCGTGAAGTGAAATGGAAGATGTGTATAACCTGTGGCTACTGCCAGCAGGTTGTGATCCCTGGCTCAAACACTTACGAGTACCTGCAGAGAGAACAAGCATTTATTGAAGCTCATACAGGAATATAAGGCATGATTTAATATAAATGTCTTCAGTAATTAGCAAGGTAAGATAAAGGATTAGAAAAACAGAGAATTAAGTCTTACACTCTGAAGTCAAAATCATGTAAAATCTCTGGCAGCTTGTGATCTCTACAATATTCTTTGCTTTATGCTCTTACCATGTTGACACACATCTTTACTTGTTTGGTGAGTATTTCTTCTGCCTTCTTGATCTAAAGAATCATTGCATGGTGAGAATGACAGCTCCAATCTCTCAGTGTCTGGTATGGATTCAGCTCCCTTTCCCTTGCCTTGAAGTCGGCAAGATTTATTACTTTTGCTACTGCGGGTCTTTGTTACCTTGAAAGACATGATTTTCTTAATGAAAGACCGAAATATAACAGCTTTCAAAATACTCAAAGGTAAACATATATTTTCAATTAAGCTTATTTGAAAATTTGAAAAATAAAAGTTTGTAAATATTTTCTTTTTTTTTTTTTTTTAAAGTATGATCTTTCAGGAAACTGAAATGAAGAGTTTCTGCTCTGCATCACAGCTCCCATCATAAGGAAAAACATTTACACGTATAAGAACTTCAGCAGGCTAGAACAATAAATTCAGAAAAATAAGAATGATAAGAAATCAAAGTGATTTCAGTAGGAAGAGAACTTTGTAGGCATGATGCTGAAATTAGATCAGCTTGTTCCAGTCAAGTTTTGTTAACTTTGAAAGTACTGAAATTCCACAGTCTCCCTGTGACACTGTTCCAGTATTGAACCTTCACCATTACACCCAATCAGAGCTACTCTGTAAACCTGGGACTCTTGTCTTTTCACTGCACCTCTTAGAAGATTCTGGCCTGTCTTCTCTTCAACCTTGCATTAGTTAAAAATACAAATTTCATTCTCCTGCAGCCTTCTCTTCTGAACAAACCCATGTGCTGTAGCGACCCGTGCACTTCACCTGCCCTCCACTGGATGCTACATTATCTCTTATTCTGGAGGTCCACGACCAAACACAATACTCTGGACACAATCCTACAGTTCTGAAAAAATCCTTTAGTGTGACTCCTCTGTTTGTCAATCTCTTCCTTCATTGAAGTGCCAGTAGTTTTGTTGTAATTTAAGCCTTCTTACCTCTCCAGATACTCTCGTACTGACTCTTCTGTTTGAAGATGGAGGTGGCCCAAGGATCTTTGATCCAAATGCAATATGTGATACATCCTGAGTTTTACCTGTGCGTTGTCCTCTATTAATTGAGCTACCTAAGAAAAATAACAGTTTTATAAGAATTACAGTACTTATAAAGAATGAATATTAATTTCTTCAAATCAACTGAAAGAAAATAACTATGGACACTAAACATATGTAAAAGTCACATTCTTGTCATGGTTTAAGCCCAGCCGGTAACTCAGAACCACGCAGCCACTCACTCACAGTTCCTTTACAGCACAATCTCTAGAAATACGTAGGAATAGCAAATGCACATTGTATAGAAATGTGTCAATATACAAACTTTATCTAAAAAGGGGCTGTTTAGAACAAAAAAAATTATTTGTACGATTTCCTTAGAACAAATGAAAACCTCATTTCTGACAGGAAGTAAAACCAACTCTGTTTAGTAAGTATAAAGAATAAACAAATAGCAACACAAGAAAACTGAAGCAAGACTGCTAAGGTATCACTCACAGCTCAGAGAACTGTTTACATGTTGCTTGCTTTATGAAATCACTGAATCTACTCTACTACCAGGGCTGAGCTGTGATATTGCAAACATACTCTATTCCTGCTAAAACCTTCTACCCTTTTCACTATTTATTTTTTACTGTTTAAAACACATGTATTTTGATAATTAGTTGCAAGCACAGAAAATGCCAACCAGTCTCGAAGGCAAACAAAAAGTCAACATGGAACACAAGTAAATGTTCCAAAAAAGAGGGAAGAACAGTAAAAGGGTTACACATTAATTTTATCACCACAGTTGCAGAACTGAATTTAATATCTGGTTTCCTCTTTTTTAATACTGTCAAGATTATCTCCTTTCCAGAGCTGATAAAAAGGGTAACCTCACATTAATTTATAATGTCTGAAGATTTTTTCTTGCTACAACTTCAGTGTTAAATTGCCACAACATTTTTAGAGATCTGACACCTCCACAAAGCAATGAAATAGAAACAAAACTTTTTGTTGACTCTCTTAAGAATTTTCCATACAATTATTTAATCTTATTCTGAGATCAGCTTATTTACAGTGTCATCAAGAAATGAAAAAAATATCATGCATTAGCCACCAAATACCATAATTTACTGTACCAATAAGCATGAAAGAAACCTCTTTCCCCCATTACCTTCTTCCCTTTTTCCTGATGTGACATTTGGCTGCAGCTAACAGCTGCCATTTCACGAAGATTACATGACCTGTCTTGGTTTACCATCAATTCATTTAATTTGCTGACTACCTTGGGATGTGGTTAGCTCCAGTTATAAAAGCTGATTTGCACGAAAATATCTCTTTATGCACACATTAATTGACTGAAATAATTATCTACATCTACCCATAACAGAGTGTTGGTGGCATAATGAAATAATGTGTCATTAAAAGTGGATGATACTAAAAATAATTCAGGCTTTTGATTATCAAAGGAACAAAGTTCAGTAGATAAAAAGAACATTTCCCAATTAAAATGTACATAAATATACCAAAACTTCCATTTTCAAGAAGGCCAACTCCAGCAATTTGAAAAACATGTCTGGAAGAATACATGTTACATTCTTAAAATTGGATTAAAAATAAAAATTAAACTGAAGGCATTTCCTTTCCATGCAGGTCAAAGACGCTATTGTTAATTATCTTACTACATATACCTAAAGGCTATAGATCTTTCTAATCTGGACAGTAAAACCTGAGCATTATTCTGTTTAGATCTATCATTCACACTATTGTACTCAATTAAGTCTTAGTCTCTTCTATTTTGACAATCCAGACAAGAAGTATTGATTTTTGAACAGAGACACTGAGAAACTGAATTCCAGAGTTTCTTTTGCTATTTCAGAAGCAAACTTAGACTCAAAACTTCATAACACAACTTTGGCTTTACTACTTGTAGGGCAATAATACTCTAAAATACTATTTGCCCTTTAATATTACAAAAATGGTACTTGCATGTAAAAAAAAAAAAAAAGCTGAATGTAATTTATGTAAGTAAATGTACGAAGGGTCTTACCCAATGCAAAAATTTAAATCCCCTGCTATTAATTTCAGCTGCTGTACTGCCTTTGCTAATGAAGTATATGAAGAGAGAGCAAAAGTTAACAACTTAAACCAGCAGCAACATGGAGGCTTAGTGCAGATGGTAAAACCTTTACGAGCTGCTGGTTTTTTCATATTCTGGTAAAAGCAGAAGAAAAGGAGTTTAAAATATTTTCTTAAACTTTTCATATTATCCAGGTTGTTCTCAGAAACTGCTTCTTCAAAGTTTATTTTTTTTAGAGTTTCATGAGATGCTATGCCTTAAATACTATTGTTGGCTGTGAGAGTCTTTATTTTATAGTCTTAAACTTCACCAGCAGTTACTGTTCCCCGCAATTTATGTTATTCCTTTAGTCAATACTTTGCACATGTATTTCCAGAGCATTTTAACAGAAATGATGGAAATTATTATTTACTGAATTCAAACACTGAAGATGAGAATCCTCAAGACTGAGAAAGTACTGAGCACAGTGGAATAAAAGTGTGTCTTCCTTACCTACAGCACCACTTCAAACACTGCCTACACTGACTAAGATGCATTGGAAATTGATTCTGGAACTAATTTGCTTGTTCAGACACACTTCTAAGCTACTTCAGACTTACTTCCTTCTCTAAAGATGTTCTAGTGCCCTGTATGATCAACCTGTGACTCCCAAAAGGTGGTACATGAGAAATTTTACAAGACATTGCAATTACTCTACGGGCCAAATTAAAGGCTTAGCCTTGTGTTTTGTACAGGAGCCAATAGTAATGTAACAAAAGTATAGAGTAAAGAGGGTGCCTATAAAGAGAGAGAGTTTACCTGTGCATTTTTCTAAGCTCTAGCAGTGAGAAGTTTATGTACTTCTTGTTAAAGCTGAAAAAATCAACTCAGTATTTTGAAAGGGGCAAAATTATCAGTTCTCCATGAAGTATGTGAATGGAGAATACAAAATATTCTCATTTTAAAATCCATTATAACCCACTTCTTTAAGAAGTCCTTGCACACATTTAGGATATTTACTGTTGCACATGGATTTACAGAATAACTTAATTAAAAAGGAAAAGTAGAGATCAGTAATATGCAACTGGATTTACAAAAAAAGTAGTATCCTGGGAGTGAGGAAATGATATTTTTGATATGTTTAGAATTCTAATCAATGAAATTATGAAAATATGGGTTTTTCAACACTGATTTATTAGAAGTGTTTAGGCTGCACACAGATCTCAAACTATAGGATAGATACATGTCTGTGCTCATGTTAGTACAGCAATGCAAGAGTTGTCATACTTTGTAAGGCACTGGAACTCTTACCATGCACTTGCACAGAAAAATCCACACTATTTGTACACAGACAGTATAGATCATATTCACAGTATTTTATCACAACAGAATACCTGTTTCTTGCAGTGTTACGGGATGCGTCCTGCATTTTATTTCTGACTTCTGAATTTTAGTCAGGTTCAGCAATTGTGTAACTTGTGGCACATCTTTATTCAGCTGGCAGGTTGGAGGAATATCATCTGTGGGCTCATATGGCGTGACTGGAACACCACACATAGCTAGAATCAAAAAACATGAGCTTTACTAAGATGACACAACAGAATTAAGTTAGACTTAGGTTATTTGTTAGGTTACATATGTTTTAGTTCATATGGTTATAACTATTTAATAGATTACAGCAATTTGAGATTTTGATGCAATTTTCAGTTTTAAGACGGTACAAGTTTCTAAATGACAGTGAGGGCTAGGTCTGGAGAAGAGAAGGCTCAGGGGAGACCTCCTCACTCTCTACAACAACCTGAAGGGCCACTGTAGCAAGGTGGGAGTTGGTCTATTCTCCCAAGCAAGACATGTTAGAACATGAGGAAATAGCCTCAAGTTGTGCCAAGGGAGGTTTAAAGTGGGTATCAGGAAAAAATTCTCCACTGAAAGGTTTGTCAAGCATTGAAAGAGGCTGCCCAGGGAAGTAGTGGTGTGACTATCCCTGCAGGTATTTAAAAGACATGTAGATGTGGCACAGAGGGACATGATTTAGCAGTGGACTCGGCAGTGTTGAGTTGGACTTGATCTTAAAGGTCTTTTCCAACAATTCTATGACTTGCCTAGATAAGAAAATAAGCATACAGAAAACACTAATGCTCACCAGCTGTGTAATAATCATAGAATTGATAATCCAGTAATTAAAACTGAAATATTTTACCATGCATACAGTTCGTTAAAGCTGCCTACTCATTATGTTAACTACATTTTGGAATTCTGGAACCCATTTAGAACATTTCCATACATTTCAAACACTGTTTAGAATGGAAGAGAGAAAACAATGCACGGAGGGAATGAAATTAAATGAAAGCCAGTGACGCCTCTAACCACAGTTTCTGCTGAGAATTTACCAGATTCTCTCTGCAGTCAACTTTTCAATTAATTTTTCTTTTCCAACCTCACCAACAAAGAAAGAGGAGTAATCACAGTGATCACATACTCTCCCTTACTTAGGTGTTCCAAATGGAAGATACTTTTTGTCATACTTACAATACTGCTAACTATCCATCCTTCAGAAGCCAGAAGCCTTTTTTCAGGTGTGCTCTTTCAAAGCCACAAAATGAAAATTTGAGTGAAATTGTAGCTGAGCCATACCTAGGGCTCCTCTAAAATAAGAAAGTGCCAGCTGTGCCTTTTCGATTCCTCCTCTATTACTGCAAATATCAGCAAGGAATGAAACTCTCCCTTGAAAAACAGTAATTCAGGATTATGATGCTAGTCTGGAGGCTGGTCAACCTTTGACCAATATCCTGCTCTATTACAAATATAATATCTCATTTTTCAGTTCACCACCAATACTATGTTCCCAATGAACAAGGACATGTTAGGATAAATGGACGAAAGATCTCAGAAAGGCGTTTATGGTGGTTTAATAGTTCTGTTTCAGGTAATAGTGTTTTGTTACAGTTTTGTTTTGGATTATTTAAAGAAGCAATCTTTCATCAGCTGCTACTGTCCAAAACTAAGAAAACAAACAGCAAATGCTGCTAAGTTTTACTCTTTCCTTTCAGACACTCTCTTCTTGGCCAAAACCTGATTTCTATCAGAATAATATACCCTCATTAAACCAAGCTCTCTACTTCATAGATCTTGCCAGAATTTCTTCAACAAAATACTTCTAAGGAAGTCAATGTTTAAAACGGAGGAGTACACATACATTTAATTAGTTGCCTAAAGCCCAACACTAGCAGATTTAATATGCTGTGCTACCACTTCAGTTTTCATGAAATCATGTAATCTTTCAAACTGCCAATCTGATGACTAAGAAGCTTTTGACTTTATAATATGAACAGTTATGATAAAGACTACATAGTAATTATAACACACCATCTTTCTCAGCTGTATCTTGAGGCTTGGATTTTAAAGTGAAGATCTTTCTCAGTTTACAGTTAGCTGAAATACTAATTCCATCCAAAGACTGGAAGGCAGCTCCTCTGAATATTTCACTGGTGAATGCTACCAAGTCAATACACATATTGCACCACTAGAAAAGAGAAACAATACTCTTTAATAAAACCCAAACACTAATCACTGCAGAAGAGTATTAGTGTAGAGTTCTCTATAAACAATGTCTCTGTTAAGTATTACGATTTTTCACAAGTCGCAATTCACAGTGCACATTTTGATAATAGAAAATATATTGTTATATTTGCACATACAGCTATTATTTATACAAATCAGTATATATAACCTAGCGACTGCCAGCCCAACTAGCGTATCTACAGTATGTTTTGCAGCTAAGTTGTAAGAAAGTATATTCATTGAAGGTTTTCTGGCAAAAAGCTGTTATTCAGTATCACTTAATAAATTAAAGTTACTGCAGTTTAAGTGCCCCAGAGGCTAGAGTTGGAGATTCTTTGACGATTTATTTCTGAGATTCATAAAAAAAGGACCTTTCCAAAGTCTGCACCCCTTCCACACTGAAAAATATCAGGAAAATGTATAGTATGGACAAGATCTCAGTGTATCACAACATCTTAAAACTACTTCTTGTGTATACAGTAAGCTGATCTATCTAACCACTGAAAGCATCATACACTCCTTCAAGTAAAAGCAACAATAAAAAGGCAGATAACCATTTAAAAGAGACAGATATGTATTCAGATATACTAAGAAACACAGACCTAGTCTTGGTCAAGCATTAAGGTTATTAAAATATTTTGTCATTAGAACTGATTATAGCATTTAGATGGATCTCTGATTAATGCTTTATTATCTAAATTTAAATAAAACCCTGAAGTGCATATTCTGATTGACTTTAACTTGGTGAACATTAATGCATACTTTAATCGTGAAACATTTATGCTAGCCTGACACTAAGGCCAACTAACTGAAATTATACTGAGTAAGAATTATTTAATTTTAGTGGATCTTGAATTCACGGGAACTTCAGGGGTATGATCTGATGCATCTGATGCAGGGGTATGACAGCTGCCTCCACCAAAATTGCTCTAAAAGAAGTTAACTTCAGGGGGGTTTTTTGGAAAATAGTCTCTGTCATGTCTAGCCTTGAATTCACAGTTGCTTAGTATACTAGGTGTTATCTAGTTCTCTTGGTGCATACTCATATTGTAAAATATTTGAACTCTTAACTATTCTCATCTCCACGCAGTTTTCTGAAGCAGTATTTGAGACTTGGATCTTTACAAAGTTGTATGGTAACCATCAGGTTTTGTATCCTGACAGCTATTATCTTATGTTGTGGCTGGGTGTGGAAGAGGAGAACACGGAGATGATGATGGCTATAGGCTTATTTTTATTAGTTTGACATATACATTGTTTTATATGTGCCAGAATCTGGAAGAACCTGAAGCACAGGAAAGCAGCCGTCACCTACAGCCTACCTTCAGCTCCAGTGAGTGTAATAAAGGCTCACTACGAGGTAAAGGTACACATGAAAATAAGCACTATAATGAAGAAGTATCAGGGACAGAGAGAACTTACAGAGGCTGGATAGACAGCAGAAGTAAGGAATAAACATCACAAACAACGTTAATCTTGGAAAATGGGAATGGACTCCTAATGTCAGAAGGGTAGAAAAGTACAGTATTAAGTGGTACTGATACCACCCAGTAGAGAAGACATACACACCTATCTTGAATGAGCAGGAAATGAGTTATAAACCAAACAGTAATTTCAACATGTCTATAAACATATGCTTCTGGTGAAAAAACCTGTGCTCTTCCACAGTCCAAGAAATATTCCCAAGGTACCTACTATTCTGCGGTTCATCGTAAACAGTGGAATTTTTGCATGCAGAGGGGTTACAGACAACTCCTTGTGGACTGTTGATAAATACAATCTTCTTTTAATATTTCCTAAATCAGTTATCCTATAAAAGAAAAAAGCAGGAGAGAACAGAACAGATCTTTGTCAATTCAATAATCCAGTATCTTTGGCCAAGATATCTGTTTATCATAAAAACATCTATTCATATGCGGAACCTTTGTGTCAGTGATAGCAAATAAAGAATTGGAGAATTACTGCTTTTACAAGATTAGTAACAAGATTTCCTTCTCCAATCCAAACTTGGTGGCTATATTCCTGCACATAAAAAATCACTTTACATGCTAATTTTATTTCAACAGTCTACGCTCTTTGCCAGATTTCCACAGCCCTTCAGACTACGAAAGAATTCAATTTGTATGAACCGAGAACCCAGTAGCCTTTAATAATCACACTTGTTTCTGCCCCTTAAGCTTGTGTTATCTTGGGACACATTGTCACACACTAACTAGAAAAACATTATTTGCTTTCTTTTCCTAAAAATGCCTCTGTCATTTCATATAGACTCTTGTCAGCTTAAAGATAGAGACACAAGACATCGTCTGATCTACTTCCTGAGCACGTATCTTCAAATGTGAATTATATTACAGAAGTTTATTGCTCACTATTCAGGTCATCTGACAATGACACCAAGGACATTTCTAACAGATTCAGACCACAGCCATGATCACAAAGATTAGGTTTCCTTTATATCAACAGAGGCTCATTTTTATGTTCTGTTTCGTTCAAGTCCTCTGAGCAGCTGTACTGGTTTTAGCTGTCATAGAGGGAAATTTCTTCAAAGTAGCTTGTACAAAGCTGTGTTTTAGATTTGTGATGAAAACTGTGTTGGTAACATAGAGGTGTTTTCGTTATTGCTGAGCAGACCTTACGCAGCATCAAGGCCTTCTCTGCTTCTTAACTGCCCTGCCAGCAAGGAGGTTGGAGGGTACAAGAAGTGGGAACAGGCAGTGAGAGCACAGCCGTGTACGGCTTAGCTGCTTACTGGGGTTAAACCACAACAGCAGCACAACCTTGATATCCCCCAGCAGTCCTACCTTATTATACCAGAGAACACACATTACTTGAGAGGCTGCAATCTGTATGGGGAAGTAATGATTAATTTACCTCTTATTTTTGAACAAGCTTATTTCTAACAGACGGGTATTCCTCTGTAATTAGCAGCCCTTTTGAGAAAATGACAAATTATTACAATAAACTTTCTGTCTCTAGTTAGTGTTGTTAGAAAGACTCATAATCATTATATTTAAATGCTGGGGTTTTCTTTGAAATTGTGAAATTGCCCTGTAGATTTTTTTTTTTATTATTAAAACCACCTTTTCATTAGTAAGGACTATTTGTAGCTTAGCTAATGAAATGTTGTAACCCAAAATTTGCAGATAGACACCGTAAAATCTTCTTAGGTTTCCTCAGGTCAGCTTAGGAGGGCATTAGCTCCAGAGTAAGTTACATACTTGGGCTATTTTGTCAATTCAAGAGTTCAACCAAGGGCAGTACAAAATATACTGCAAGTATGTAAATATCAAAACATTCTACTAGTATAGGCAATAAAGATACAGGAGCACCCTCTTGTTTCCCCACAGTCATTTAAGATCATCATGCAAATCAAACAAAGTCCATCAGCTTTCCAGAACTCCTTGTTTCTTTCCTCTCTCCTGGAGACCATCTGATGTTTAATCTATTAATCTTCATAACATGGGTGGGCAAATAAAAACACAGTGGAAGAGTCTACTACCTGTTTCACTATGAAAGACTAGCAGCTCCTCCAGTCACATGCACTTTAAAGGCAAAAATTTCACTAGTGTGCCAGGGGAAGAACATTACATCCTCACCACTACTATCATTTGGCACAGATTTCAGAATCAACTGCACATATTTATGGATGTATGAATAATACCATCAAGCCCTTGAAAAGTTTTTTCATCAGAAGACCTCAAAATATCTTACATGTTGGGCTTGATCTACTTTTGAAGAAATTTAAGCAGGATGTGAAATAATTCACTCAAAATCATCAGCAAGTTGGCCACATAGCTGAGCCTGTGCCTCAGATCAAGGCTTAGTTCCGTTCATCACTTTGCTTCTCATATGCCCTTTGATGGAAAACCTATGGATGCAGTTTTCAGAAATCTCCACTCTGTCTAAACCTTGGTAAGAGATTAGGGTCCTAAAGAACTCTGAAGACTTGGAGTAGTGGTTGCTTGAAACCCCTAGGTCTCCTCATTATGTGTGGAGTTGAGCAACTGTCCTTAGGAACCACATAGCTGCAGTAACCTGAAAGCTGAAGCACAAATATTATTTGTGAAATACTGAAACTCAAACCGTGTAATTCTCAATGGAGAATGTTGCTTTAGATGATGCTACAGCAGAGTGGTAGGAGCCTAGACTGAAGTCATGTATATCTCCAAACAACTGGTAATAAAAACTTAAATTCACTTTATAATATTAGTTCAGTATGTTTAAATTTTATTATCTTTATATGAATAGTTTTATCTTCCTCCTGAAAAATATTAGGTACCTCAGCAATAAAAAGACCATTGGTAAATGTACAGCTCAGTTACATTCTGAAGTGAAATACTGAGCACTTTCATTTAGACAAAAATACACAGATTTATATCTGACTCTGTCATATAAGTCTAAAATAAGATTGTTTTTGTGATGGTACGTATGCTCTAAAGAAGCTGCAAACCTTAGATATATAGTCACAATCAAACCTAAAGAGGTTTAAGATTTTTGTTAGTAAATACATTTAAAACAATAAAGATACTTATATACTACAGGCAAAAGTAAGTGAAACATTTGAAGAATGGGAAAAACTGGAAAAAGATGGTCTTAAAAGTCTGTAAAATAATTTATTTCCTGGGAGAAGAGTTGGTGTAACTTTCAGATTTTTCAGTTACACTGCTTCTTGGAAAAGAAACCAAGCGTCTGATGAAACTCTCTTCTGAAATAATTCAAACAACAGGAATTAGAACATTAGAACTCCCACTTGTAAAACGACTCAAGAGTACTTGTGGTGAAACTCAACTTCTTTCCTGTTATCAAAAAGCTCGACCTACGCTAAACATCTGCAGCACACATCTTGATTTTCAAAGATGCATTAAGGAAATCTATATAGGAGTTAAAGTATTTTTATTATGTCTGTGCTTGAGTATTTATATCTAAGGGTCAGACATGTGATAGAAAAGTAATGAGACCATGTTGAGAAAAATGAGGTAGTCAACAAGAAAATCAACCTCATTTATAATAATATTCCTGTGATCAGCAGGTGCATAACTCTCCCAGCTATGGTCATTAACTGCATTCATTTCACACTTAACATCTACATTTGCAAACCATTTGAAAGTAAAATTACCTTTCAATTCAATTTCCAATTTTATTTTATATCTTCAATTTTGATTGACTATTCTCCTCACAATGGTAACTTACACTGAGATTGCAAGTAAATGGTAGCAACTACCCAAGAGTAGAGATAAACTCATCTCAGATTACCTATTCACTTTGCTTCTGTTCACCATTTGTTAATGTTCAATTCAAGGCTTAAAATGAACTTAGAAAAAATGACACTGGACTGCTAAAGGGATGCTTCATTTATCAGGCTCACTTGTCCTTAGAATGGAAGTGTTTGTTTCTTTAGAAATGATTTAAACTGGAAGTTTACCAAACATGAAAGTAGGTATTTCATTGATGTTGCTAAGCAAAGGGCAACTCCCACACAATTTGTTATTAATGGTGATCCCTTTGTATGGTGGTCAAAATCCAGACAGAATCCTCCGCAAAGGCTTAACTATTAGTGTGCCAGTATATTAATGTACTTAGCAACTGTAGTACTATTTTCTCTTTAAGTAGTATCTGCTTCAGAAACATTAGGTAGTAGCATTATCACCTCCATTTTAAAAGATAGAAAACCAAAGAAATAGCAATGGTCAGCTGATTTGTCATGCTTACAGATTCTCAGAGTAGGATATCTTTCTTTTTGGATATCTGTTTCCTAAATTACCACCCATGCTGTCTTGGTACTCTAGAGAAAGCATGGACTGCAAGAGTTATTAAAAAATGTTTACTTTAAATATATGTTAATCTCCTTTGCAAGTTAAGGAATTTAACATAACCTAATAGTTTTAAGACTGTTCCTGTATTTCACTCCTGCTTCACAACGAATTCAAGGAGCCTCATGCTACTAAACATCAGAATTTCAAATAATCCCTCCAGCTAAATCTGTTCAATAAAGTTTACCTTCAGTCGCTATCTAAAATCTTCAAACGCTGCCAGAAGTACGACAGAATGTCCTACTTCTAATTTTAAAAGGTTGGTCTAAGTTTCTAAGTTTTGCAAGATTAATTTTATTGTTCTGTATCTGAAAACATGCTGGGTCTTTAGATTAACATGAATAATTTATCATATCTCTGTCAGCAAAGCTAAAACGATGACTAATTATGATAGCATGTAATTCACAAATTCAAGCTATTATGGTGCCTATGAATAAATTAGCTATGCATGTAAAATCCAGGATGTGCTGGTTATCAAAAATTGGAAAGCAATGAACTTGTATTTACAGAAGCAACTGATTGAAAAAAAGGAAATACAGTACAACTATCTATATTCTGCTGTGCTGTTCACAAGCCTTGCAATAAATTTTCTTATCAACAACTACTTTAGGAACACAAACATTTTAAGCCCGTTCCCCCTGCAGATTCCTGTATGCATAACTAGCTAAACTTTGACAGAAAACTTCTTAAACCTTATCAGGTGTGTTCCAGAGTTTGAAACTCCAGAGAGTTCCTGTTCATTCAATAAATCAAGAGCATCTCTGTGTTATAAACCCACTAAGCTTATATGTATGATCAAAACCATCACTCCTCACAGAGTAAAAACAAGCTACAACTGTGGTTTCAGGATATGCTAATTCTGAGGCGTCATTCCAAAGAGTTAGGAAAATGTCAGATTTTCAAAAGGTAATGCCTACCAACTGTGTTTGATTATTCCCAAGATTTCTGAAATTCTTCTCCCTTGCAAAATATACATGTGAACAAAAAGCAAGCATCCGCCTTAATTATGATGAATTTCAAAGAGTAAAAAAATCCCCAAACTAAATTAGGTTTAAAATACAAAGTCATAACTTTAAATTACAGACTAAACATGGTAAATGGGAAGGAATAATCCCCTGTGCTGGAACAATCTCGGGGCAAATTATCTGGAAAGCAGCTTTGTACAAAATGACCTCAGGGTCTTGGTCATTGGTGGACAGCAAGTTGACCAGTTGACCTTGAGTCAGCAAAACATTTGCAACATAAAAGGTCACAAGCATCCTGTGCTGCATAACGAAAAGCATTGCCAGCAGGCCCAGGGAAGTGACCAGCAGGCCCTCTGCTCAGCCCTGGTAAAACCACAGCTGGAATGCTGGGGCCAGTACTCGGCTCCATGATAAAAGAGCGACACGGATATACTGGTGCAAGTCTACTGCAGGACAATTAGGATTAAGAGATTAGAACATCTGATTTAGGAGAGGTTGACGGAGCTGGGATTGTTCAGTCTTGAGACAGTTAAAGGAGATTTCACCAATGTGCATAAACACTTGATCGGAGGGAGTAAAGACTGAGCCAGACTCTCCTCAGCAGTATTGAAAGAACAGGTAAGAGGCAATGTGCACAAATTGAAATATTTTCTGGTGAAAATGTGTGCTAAGTAATTTATCCTTCAAAGATTTTATCTATGTTCAGATTCTAAATTCATGTCAAAAATAAAGCATGCCACAGAGGAAAGTATGATTCTACCAAAGTGATGAAGGTTATAAATGCCCACTAACTCACAAACCACCGACACTTAAATCCCTGCATGGACTGTTACAAATCCAATGAGGAATTTTAATAAATGAGTCAATTCACACTAGCATATTTGTTGAAATAAGAAAATACTCCAAGATAACTCTACTTGCACAAAGGTATGGAAGATGACGATAACCCAGCAACATAAAATAGCACACCATCCTGATTTCATTAAATCAGTTATTCACATTATAATGAACACCACAGGGTTTCCAATGGCCTAATGTTTTTTTTGTTAATCCAGATCTTCGCTGTTCTGCTGGTTACAAAACTGAGTGAGTTGTGCTGGTTATTAACAGCGGGTGCCACAAGGGGGGAAATGTGTCCAAGACTGACAATAGCCCGAGTTCCCATTCATGATTTTCAGAGTTTATTCTGTCTTCAAAGGAATGTTAGTATTTAAAACACCCAAGAAATAACGATCTCATTAGCTTAATTCCTTATTGACTTGATAAGTCACCGTGCTTTAATGCAAAGTCTGCCACCACAATTAACGGCTACAAACAGGCACTAAGTACTCAAGGAAATTAAATGCATCTTACAGTAACTCAGTGGAGAAGTCTCGTCCCAACGGCACAAAAATCTGAAGTGTCAGAAATCGCTGGATCAGTCCCACTAGAAGCAGGTGGAAAAAATTCAATACATGTGCTGTGTGCGTGCAGATGCCCATTTCACCATCAAGCATTTCAATTTTGTACCATACAGCTACGCTCCTGCAACACTATTTCCCAAGGTTCACACAAGATATGAACATGACAAAAACCTGAAGAAAACCAATTCAAGCTGCAATACAAGTGTTGTTTTACAAGTCCCATCTGTGGCTTTGGTGGAATTCTCATGAAAATAAAAGGCAACTTTTTTTTTTCCCTTATAATTCTTGTGTTCCAAGAGCACCAAATATCCCACATGAATTATAAAATGAAGTAATAGTTTCCTATCAAAATTATCTTACAGTCTTATCAAACTTAAGCCCATGTTTGTGACAACATACACCTTATTAAACAACTTCAAAACACCCTTGGGTGAAAACACAGTTCAGATCATGACAACAATGCTTAATGGAGGCTTCTGATTTTAGAACAAAAGCAAAAGGAGCTTAACAGAGGGAAAAAACACAAGAAATCTTTAGGGATTCAGGTAGATTCCATCAAGGGAAAACAGACAGTAGAAAGCTGTCGGAATTGAACCATATGCTGTTTCCTTAGTTATTCCATCAGGGAGGGGATAGGCTGCTCTTCATGGACTTAAAACTTAACAGCAACATTAGCTCCTCTTTTAAAGAATTCCGGTTTAAAACTTTCTTTTGTGAGTCAAATGACACAAATTTCAAATTATACTTGTATATATAACATCTTTATTTTGGAAGAGTATTCAAAGATTACAGTACAACTGGGAGATGTATACTTGACATTCTTGAGGTACAAACACCCCAAGAGATGAAGAGACAGAATGGTAATAGATGGCAATTTGACTGTAGTATGGCAGCATTAGCTAAAGTAAATTTAAAACTATTCTTAGCAGTGATAATTCACAACATTAACTCTCAATCCTCATTTTAGGACGTAATAGTTTATTGTTACATCGGCAATAAAGCTGTATTTCTCAGAAAGATAGACTGGACTAATATTTATTATAATTAACATAAATTTCTTTTCTAAAAAGTAAAATGAGAAAGGGGAGAGGGACCTATTTCACATTCTGTAATGCAAATAGAATTACTGGCTGAAGTATTGAAGGCAGTAAGCCCTTATTTGCCAGACATCAGCCTGTAGCAGGATCAGGTACAGAAGTGAATCCAGCAGCACCAGACCATGTACCAACAAGGATCTTCCCTACAACCATTAACTTTAATTTCTATACGTTTTACTTATTTGTATCTGACCAGCTAAAAAGTTAATGAAAGAACACTTTGCTAGCACTGAATTATGCCCAAAGTAATGGAGAATAATGTAAGTTTCATATTACAAGATTGATTTAATAATCAGAATAACATCACAGACATTTAATTCTCTGATACTTACATGTTTGTCTAGTTTCCTTTGGTAGCTGCATTTTGTTGACTTGACTGTTTCCTTCAAGTACAAAAACAAAGCCTTTTACTTCTTTATCATATTCCTACAGAAGGGAACAATAAACAAACATAAGCATTGTGACAGAATTCTTCTCCTCACAATCAACCACACTACTAACAGGTAAAGCTAGTTTTTTATTTTTTAAATCACAAATGGCAGATGGCACTGCAACATGACAGGAGTTCAAATATGACGGTAATCTATGTTTATGGATTATATCCTTTACGTGCATGTTTTATGAACAAATAATGCTGAGAAACAGGACCCATGATCCAATGGGCTCAACTCAATCCATTAGACAGCAGAATAACAAAATTACTTTCTAAATATTTAAGCTATAAAATTATGTTGCAACCAACCTAGTCTGCAAGCAGGCACAAAGAACTAATCGAAATAGTCATTTAGTCTGTCATAATGACAGAACTGCAAGTGACAACTCCACTGTCAGGTCAAAGCCCTCATTACCTTCTCATTTTAATCTTCATTCACATTCTTTCTGTTTTATAGTCTAGATTTTGTAAGTTTCTTTAAAAAACTTACTTTCCATATAGCTGATGGATTGCCAGAAATCTTCCATTTTGCTCCTGGGTTCTTGCCTTGAGCACTGAATATTTCAACAAATGGGCCACCCTATGATGAAACAGTTTAAGGACACATCATCCAACCACATGTTCAGCACTGTATCATCAATGGTCAAGATAAGCACGTAAGACCAACCCCTCCCCATGTTTGGCTGTTACCACAGTCAGTATTACTGATCAGTCAGACAGCAGAGTATTAACAGCTTCTTCACTATTGTAAAATAGCAACGCATACAGTCAATATTTGGCTTTAATGGAGTAGCAGAACATAAAATTGAAGGAATACCATGGAATGTTTTAAGTTTTATTTCATAATGTCATTCTCTAAAAAGCAAAATTACTGTAACTTTTAATGTATTGAGATTAATAATTTATATTTGAATATGGTTAATTTCTACAATTCGCTGAATGGAGTAAGTTTTAAAACATACTGCTAAAAAATAAACTATTGCAGATTGGATGTTTTGTCTGATTTCCTACAGAAATGAAGTTTATACAATCTGTCTACACATTAGAGTATGTTAAAGACATTTTCCAGTAACTTTTCTACTAGTTACCAAATTGCCTGATTTGACCAGTCTGGGAAACTCACAAAAATTTATTATCTTTTACGGGCCAACTTAAGTGGCCTCATAGTAGATCTGACTCCACCAGTATTACCATAAAAAGGGCTGTACTCATGCTGTAGCCTTCACAAGGCATCAGATAATTAATACTGGAAAAAGATTATGAATGCCCCTGCCAGGGGAAAACTCCTTACACAGAGCATGTGCACTATTAGACATTAAAGAATCTAAGCACAGGCTCTTGGGGAGAGGCTTTATCACCTCTGCTTAGGGAATTATTTGCTTCAATATTTTTCCCAGTTGATGTCACATTTTTGGTGACATCTGATGTACTCAGCCTACAGTTTGCTAAGTATTTTCTCAGCAGCACCATTGACCTAATCAATCATTACAACTCTGCTGCTCTCTTCTCATTCCTTGTTGCCTGCACTCCCTAATTCTTTCTGCTCAGCTGCCCTAACAATCGCCCACAAGTCAGAATGAACAAGAGGGGTGAGCAGTCTTGCCAGCAAAATAAATGCTCTTCAAATTATGCTTTCAGAGAACATCAACTCTGCACCATATATGAATAGGCATTTTCCTCAGCCCACACACACCTGCCAGCTTCCATTCACATGGCTAACCCCAGTGACCAGACTAAATTCTAAGGAGATTCAAAATGGCATTCCAGAAACTGCACTCACAAAATACCTTGAAAATTTATAACGGATAAAAAAAACTAAGTGGCTTTTTCTCATGTATTTACAAATACCTTTTGTTAATATTCAGCCCTTGAGTAGGCCTTGAGTTGAGGTTAAATCTATTGAACAGGACATGGAAAACTACAAGACATGGCATAAGAAAAAGTTACTTATTGCCATGGAGGATGGCTGGGTCTCAGGGGTGGCCAAGGGGGAGTTAAGCAAGTAACTGTCAAACTCCACTATCAACTGGAGGGGAGTATGGGGCATCTTTTGGGAGCACAATCCTGCAAAGCTGACAGCACCAAGGCAACAGAACCAGAAATACTATATAGAGCTGGGATAGCCTAGGTAACATTTCTGGTACAGATATAGCACATCTGGGACCAGTGGGGGAAAAAGTAATTACAGGTGGGTTGCTCTCTCGGAAAGGCACTGGTGTAGAAAAACGGAGGCAAGGCATGGTGAAAACAAAGGCCAGGAAAGGATAATAAGATTTGTGAATCAAATGAAGCAACTAGTGTTGTTACAACCCTGTGCTGGACCAAGAGAATAATCTAACCCCCTCCCATTTTCTGACTATACCTGAAGCATTGGGCCTGCTCCTATAACTGGGTGGGAGCAGGTAGTGTGCCTTCCCTGGCCCATGAGGGTAAAGACAGACAAGAATCCATTGATAACACCATCTTAGTGTCCATTCTAGCCCTGACAGCATCCGCAGCTACCTTCTATTTTATAACATTGCTAAAAGAAGTATCGAGTAATGAAACATTCCAGAACATTTTTGTATCTGGACTTTTGCCTACCCCACTTCCCCCAGATAAGCCATTTTAACTGTGTTCTCCCAGAGATGAAATGAAAAAGGGTAAAAAAAACCCCATTTGTTTTACCTGATACTGATTTTTGAACATTTCCCGGTTTTCACAGGCAAAAAAATAAATTCAGCTTCTCAGTCAGTAATGTCTGAAAGTTGTCTGTAAATAAAATAAAAATGGAAACGCAATCAGATATTAGAAATTCACCCTGGGCTGTTTCCAGAAACACTAGTTCAGTTTAAACTTTTCAATTTTATAAGGGAAATTTAGAAACCATGGCATTTTTAACAGGCCTATCAAAAAATGCAATTAGTATGTTGATCTTATTACCTTCATGCTGCCACTGCACATCTAACACAGGCTGCATGATTCTATATTTTAGACAAGTTTCTACACAAATCTCCCACTTGTTCAATTAGCATAATTGTTTTTTTAAGAATGACTACATTAATAGCTATATTGAACTACTCTAAATTATGAACTAGACATTTTAGAAACACCTTCTGGAGAATGTACTTCTAACACAAGTATATTATTTCTTTTTATATATATTCATTTTACATACAGAGCAATCATTCTGGAAATCACTGTTCACTCTTTTGTCTGCAGCCTTATCTTTGCTATTACCTACAGCCTTTAAACAAGCCACAACTACTGAAAATTACATGATTCACGTCTTAGAATTAGTTGCACTGTGGAGCTAATCTCAGAGTGACCTACTGCTTCGATTCACTCTGGCAGAGCTAAATGTGAAGGACGAGCAGTGCACGAGAGGCAGAAGAGAGGCCCTCCAACAGCACACATTTACAACGAGGATGACTGAAACTCTCACAGTGATGCACTTGGCCTTCTATAACTAAGGATTTCACAATCCCCCAGGTTTTATGTATTCATTTTAAGTGAAGGAGGTACAAAGGAAGACGCTGCTTCTACTTGGAGCAAAAGCCCTGTCACTTTTGCTTTAAAAATGAGTTCCAGATTTGCCAAACAGCATGCACTTCATACACTCCACACAATCCTCATATATTCTGCAGTTATGTTATGCTTTATTACATCTCAGGGAAAAATATTAAAGCTAAATAAATGTAGGGATCCTGATGGAAGAGTGACTGTATTAAAAACAAAGTTCCAAGACTGAGAAGGGTAACCCATCTCTTTCATAGACTACCACTAATACTTTGGTCAGGAGTCTTCTGAGACTGTAATCATACTATATATTTTGGAACAAACATTTAATGTGTAGCATGTATAGGTCACTTCATTATCATACCATTTTTCAGGATTGAAAGGCTAAAGCTACTTAGTAAGGTAGACAGCTGCAGCACTGCTGTAGTCAGAATAACAGGTAAGACATAGCATGTAATACTTTTTCTTCACTGTGTTCTCATAAAGTGTAACTGACTTTCATAGGAGCCAGTCCACTAATGGCAAAACACACAGGGTTGTGAAGGGAGTGGAAGCCACGTTGATATATTAACTTGGGTTCAACACTTTGCTAATACACTTTGCCTCTCAGCAGTGCTTATTAGCTTTGGCTTGACATCACTGATTTATCTCCACACTGTGTTGTATAGAAATAGTTCTCAGTTGGCTGTGAGCACATAAAGAACATATATGTGAAGACACACGCCTTTATCACAAAAAGCTTCTGCTACTAATTAATTCTTTTTAAGTGGAAGAAGCAGGTGTCTGAACTGAAAAGTTCTCATTTGAATGATATGTTTAAGATAGTAAACATAATTATGACTTCCATAATAGATCACAGAAAGGGTTGAGTGTATATGAAGAGATAACATCTAGGAAGTACCTTGTAGTAAAAAACCCACAAAAACTGTGTGACTGAAGGGCTATAAACCTCATACCATCCCTAGAAACCTTCAAATTGTCAAATAAAGTTCCTTCTTGCAATATGCCTTGATATTTGTCACCAATGTCATTGGTTTTTAAACTGACATACAGGAAGCTAGTTTATTTACTAACTTGCAGAACGTATTTTAAACAGACCCAGGAAACTGATGACCCTTGTAACTTTCAAGTTCATAACAAGCCTGCTCTTTTTAGCGAAAGGGAAACTAGACCCAGTGTTTGTAAACTTTGTGTTGGGACAACTCATTCATACTAAGCTGATTGTTTTAAACACATCGGTGACATGTCACTTTGCCTTTCATAAAGGCAAGTACTACAAGTGACACTGCAATACATTTTTGCCTATATATTGCTTACTTGTAACTTTGCAATTTCCATTAAGTTACTACAAATCAAGACTAGAAATTATTTTGCTATTAAGATTGGTAGCTGCTAAAAGCATTAAGCGAATGACAAATTTGTCATGTAAGTAATAAGATAACACTCGTAGCTGCTTTCATTATGCATGAAGTATTATTGTCTTTAGTTAGAATAACCTGCAATTAAAAACAAAAGAATCGTCTGGAAAACTGGTAGTTGCAATATTTGTCATCTTTCCTCCTCCAGAAATTCTAAAAATCAACAGTGCTTAAAATCCAGAGGGACCGTTTTAGAAAAACCAGCAGCATCTTGAAATATAAGTCCTCAATTTTTTGCATATTTGTCAAATAAATAGATATGACATATTTATTGAAAGCCATGAAGTAGAAGCTCACTCATTCTTCAATCACAAATCAAACTTAATTATTTTATTGCCCTGAACCATGTACTTTAGTACATCTGTCCAACTGGAAATACAAGCTTGAAGTGTCAGTCAATGACAAACCAAATATGTAGCTTATAAAGTCAAGTGACAAAGAAAGCTATTTATCTTTGGAAGAATAGATTCCTATCAGGATTTACCTTGTAAGGTTTTGAGTAGTGCACTGACTTTAATCACTAGTTTCACAATGCTTCCTGCACCAAAGGGCCTTCTCTTTCCATTCACACAAATCACTTAGAACCCTGCAAATATATCTCAATCCTATAACTTCTTATGTATATTTCGTCACTTTAAACTAGAATGTTTCATTCAAGTATCTCAATAATATTTTGTGTTTATGTAGCCCCACAATTCAAACAGCTACAAGCAAAAGATTATTTCACGAACAGTAAATGGAAATAGATCTTCATGCTTCTTTAGATTATTTAATACTGCCCTAACCCCAAGGGAAGGAGGGATGGACAGACTCGTACAGTCCTATACAAACCTTCACAATCATGGTTAGTCCATTTTAAGTCAAGAAACTTAACGAAGTATATGAATACATTTCTACCATCAACATCTCAGTGTTGAAAAAGCTGTGTTTATTTAAGATTTTCTATTCCAAAGTCAAAAGCATGAAGCAGCATAAAGCAAATTTGCACCTACTACCGATGTGCATTGAAAAATGACACAAATACACTTTTTTGGCAGGGAACATAGGCTTAGATCCGGGACTGTTAATACATACAACTCACCATCACGGGCCCAAAGCCAGTGCTGATTTATGGTAGGCTGGGACACACCACAGAAGGCAGTTTATCACTGGTGAAGGGTTTTAGTATCTTCCAGACAAATGAATTCCACATATTGAATATTTAAAGCTGGGTTTGTAGCACCACTATATATTTTCTCGAAATACAAGTTAACATAATAAACGGGCAGAAAAACCATTAAGCTATACAGAGACTACCGGTGTTTCTATGTGAAAAGCAGCACGGGCAGCCTGCACACACAACCCGCAGAATTAAGAGTAATAAATCCAAGGTTTTCTCCTCCATAAAAAGCCGATCACAAAACGTTTTGACACAAGACCCACGATTC